AAACACTCTCTTGTGTATGATTTAGACAATTGCTCAGGGGGGGAAATGGAAGCATAAATACTGTGCTGCCACCAGGATTAAATTATTATCACTCAAAAAAGTTCCCCCTCTTAAGCCATTCAAGGTTAAGCTATTTTGAGAACATTTGTGTGTAGAGAAACTAATAAGCTTTTTTTAAAAAAAAAAAGTGGCAAAAGACTTCGTTTAAAACCGGAGCTTACTTTCTGTACTTTTCCTTTTTCAATTGAAAAGCGGGCAATTCAAAGACTTGGATGCTATAATTTTTTTAAAAAATGATGGTAATAGATGCCATTTAATTTTTCTTCACGTACTTGCAAGATTCTTATTTTTTGTAGGTTTCACCCTCCCCCACATATTTTTGATCCGCCAGCTTTGATTTGCATACACAACATTCTAATTACCTCTCCAAGGCCAACCAGTTCTGGATATTTTAAATCCAAGTTGCAAATTTTGAAGGAAGCGTCTTTTAAAACAACTCTGGACCTTTATACATTTGGCTACAATAACGGTGCATTTCCTGTGCATGTCTTCGAAGCAGATCTGGCAATAACCATAATTTAGGAAAGCCTGAAGTTGTTTCATATTGATACTGCCATGTAAAACCATGCAAGGTGAGAGATTCATGTCCATAGTCTTGTCGTTTGGAAGCAATGCTATAAATCTCCCTACTGGTCTTGAGTGTGGATACCTCTGTAGGAGTTATAGTAACAGAAAAATAAGCATAATGTATTGGTCTGGGGAGCTCAGCTCCTCTTCAGGAACATTAGCCATGTTTACTGTTTGTTTGTATTTGGAAAAATTGTACCCCAAAGTTTTCAATTCACAAACAGCATGAAAAAAGAATCTGTCAAGAAACTATATTTATGATGAAAAACTTAAATGTAAGAATTCTGTCTCGATCATTGATTGAATTACACAGGATTAACTATGTGAAAGGGGGAAAAAAGCCAGTTCTTTTAGTCTTAACCGAAGCAAGAGAGATCTATACTGCATTGGGATTCAGTTCACAGTTTGCTAAGAGGAAAGTGAAATGATACTGTTGCTAAAGAAATGGATATGGAACTTGTGATATTTCATATTTATAGTTGGCTGGTGAACACAGCTTTTTTGTGAGCTGGTGGAATTCAAAAGGTCAGAGTGTGATGGATCCTTTGTGGACATTCTATCAAAGCTCTATTGGTCCACAGACATAGGCCAATGAGTTTTTAGAATTCCAGTGAGAATCTGGTGACTGAACTGATGAATATGCCAATGGACACACCATATTATGCCAAAATGAATCCTTAGAGTAGGGATGAAAAATCACATGGTCTCTGGCCATTGGCAACATAGACTGGTAGTCCAACACCATTTGGAGGATATAATCATGTATATCTAAGTAGGCTTTAATCAATTAAGTACAATATTATACTGAATTGCTGATGGCAGCCTATAATTAGCTATTTAAAAAATAATAATACATAAATATTGACATATATAGTACCCCACATTTCTCAGCAAAACTGCTTATTATTGTTGTAGCTGAAATTCTATTCCTGATTACGTTTGTGAAGCAAAAGTATACGGGATTGCTATAATATAAAGTGATGCTTTCATTTGGACAGAGATACTTACTGAATGAATTTGAAGCAAATATATTCCTTTGCAAGGCCATTAACTGTTTTCTATTGAGATTACGTTTGCTCGACCAAAAAGAAAGAGGGGGAAAAGCTCCAGAGTAGCATGTAATGCTTCATTAGCAGACATAACCTTGTTTGTTTGCTTTTAAAAATTACATTTAGAAGAGGAAATCAGTTTGCACCACTGACATGCTGCCAAATTCCTGTTTTATAAACTCCACAACAGGCAGTTTCAGGAAGAAGAAGGGAGAAAAAATGCTCCCTTTATGGCTTCAGTACTATTAAGACAAAATATAAATAAAAAGCTATCCATCCAGTTGAATTCCCCTGCTCAGTGGCCTTCAATTAGCAGGATGCTGTGCAGTTATCCCGGTGCAACATATAGTAAATGACCCTAATTGTGCGGTACGTATTTTGTGTTACTGCAATTTCAACTGGAACATAAGGAGTGCTTTGTGTGCAGTGCTGCTTGAGTGATGATCTCAGGCAGCTGATTGTTTGTGAAATAAATAACCTTTGGTCCATGTAGTATATGTGTTCTCCTTTTTGAAGCTTGAAATGTACTCTTTCAGTATTCCTCCATGGCAGCGTGTATTTTCCCTATATGAAAATTTATTTTAACATTCTCATGTAATGGTTCGTGAAACTGGGCTCCATGCCTTTCAAAATACTGCTTTTTCCTTTAATCTAGAATGCTTTACAACAACAACAACAAAAACTCTGCTCAAACTTTGTTCTAACATAGCCACTGGCACATCCGGTATACGTTGTATACTATCGTGTATGTAAAAGCATATGTCAAAGGGGATAATCTGTGGGGATACAAAAAAGGGACCTGGATGCATGTTATTGATGGGTCTGGAAAACAGGAGGCATCTTTCATTATTCATTTCCATCGATAATTAGAGGGCACCACTAATGAGATCATGTCACAAAAATTAAGATAAAAGATGAAAAGCACTTAATCCATTGTGTTTTTGAGGAAGCCATCAGAAGAGTTAGCGATGTTTACATTTAAGACTAGCTGCACGCAGGAGATGGAATGAAGAAGCCTGTTCATGCCACAAAAGAAATGATTGCCAGGAATGTTTTCTGTGGAAAGTTCTGCGAGTCTTCCTCTGCTGTCATCATTGCATGGCTGATTTAATCCAATATATGTATACTGGAAGTCTGTATAGATGGTAGCTTAGTAGGTTCTGTTTTAACATTGTGCACTCAGCCAAAGCAGGGGGATACACAGCTGTCAGTGTCTCAAATTTCAGGGGTGCCCTGTGCAGCGCCAAAATCTGGTGCCCCCTCTGCCTCTGACGCAATAGCGGTGTCACCTGCTGCAGCACCCCAACATTGCCCAAATGTGATTTTGGGGGGGTTCCCTCATACACCCACGCTGCTTCCTTTGTGTTTTATGTGTTGACAGCTATTTTCTCTCTCGTAAGGCAGGGTGGGGGACTGAGGTAAGCACACCATTCCTGTCAGCCCTGGAGAGCGTGTGCGCATGCGTGGGTGAAGGGGAAAGCCGTTGGTCACGCTAAGTCAGGCCAGCACTGCCCAAGCAAAAATGTTCTTTTCCCCACATGAGGGAAGATGAAGTGGCAGCAGTTATTTACCTTTCCATGGCTCACACCGTGTAGCTGATGAGCGGCCGCCCCAGCAGAGGGCAGAACTGCTTCGGAGTGCAGCCGCCCAGGTGCTCCCCGCTTCCGCCGCCACAGACACCGGCTGGTGTCGCTCCTGAGGTGCCTCCAAACCCCTGCCGCCACAACTGCCCTTCCTGAGGTCAGTCAACAGCAGCTCCATGGTGGAAATCCGCATTGTGTCTCCTTTTCCCTCTTACCCACTCCCTACCCCAGAAGCAAAAATTGCTGTGCGCACAACAAACAGAGAAGGGGCTTGTCTCAAGCTGCCACCCACCTCACTTTTGACCCCCAAGCCTGGCTAAGTCGCAAAAAACATGGCATGCACGCACTATGCCGGCTGCCTGGATTCCTGGACCGTCCACGGGCCAGATCTAGAAGGCAATTGGGCCTGGTCCGGCCTGCGGGCCTTAGTTTACCAACCCATGCTCTATGTCCTACAGTTCTGTGATGTGACCTTAGCCATTCGGGCTGATCCTGCAAGCTTCCTGAACTATGGCCGCATACACACCGTACATTTCCAGCGCCCTCCCCCAAAGAATTCTGGGAACTGTAGTTTGTCCCTCACAGAGCTACAACAACAAACCACAGCTCCCAGAATTCTTTGGTGTGTGGGCTTTAACTGTATGGTGTGTGCCCACAACCTGTGACTAAAATAAAACAAAAGCCTCACCTGAAAACTTTTACTCTTGTGTCTGGTAGATTAAAATAGAAGTCAGAAGATTCTCTGCATGTTTAAATATAGGTAAATAAAGGTCCCAGCAAAGCAGAAGAAAACAGGGCTGCCCACTGATTAACAACACTGGCACTATCAATCCTAAAAGTTGGTTCAATGTACTGTATATAGCTCCGGCAGCTGAGAACCAGGAGGCTCAGTGTCCTTTTGGGATTCTGACAAACTATGCAGCTACAATTCGGAAATCAGAAATCCGAGAAAGGTGCTGGGTAACAGATGATCTAACAACCATAAATATGTTCTTCCATTTCCCATGCATGCAATGTTTGCTAACCATTCTGTTGGCAGTAGAACTTTGTAGTCAAGCAGTGTTTCAGGGACTCGTATTTTTTACCTAGCTGTTACAGCAGTGTGCATCACCTTTTAATTCTTCACTCATTCATTCACAACTTCCTAGTGCTCTTGCTCATCTTGCTTTTAGCATTATCACACACTCAGGAGAGTTTAGAGTACTTAGCATGATATAAAAACCATGGATGTGGCTGCTGTCAAGCGTTCAGGGCTGGCATTGACCCAACTTGGAACACCCAGGAAGAAGACCAGGCTGGACCAATCAAGATTTGTCTAACAGCAGCAGAGAAAGTTAGTCAAAGTCAAATGCTTCTCAAGCTGGTCATCTGTCTCTGTATGCCTGAAAGATATTTGTTCTTGTTCTTTGTGAGGCAGCATCTGACAGATAGTGGCCTGCTATGCACTTTCTTGATTAACAGTGAGGGCTGAAGAAAAACCTTAGCTGTGCTTCTAGATGGGTGATATTTTTAATGCAATCACCAAAACTGCTTTTGCAAATACAGGAATGTGGGGATGTGGAGGGCAAGTACTATAGAAGATCAGAGGGATGGAGGAATGCTTTGCTCTTCCCACACCTCCACGGATGCCACCCCATCCCTGTGTTTGCAGGTTTAGAAAGGCAGCACGAGGTTGGGACCTTGCTGTGCTTCTCTTGGGCAATCTAGTTCATTTCCTCAGGTACTTAAAGGTGATTTTATTATCATGGCACAATGGGTTGGCGCACCTGGCTGTTAAGCAGAAGGTTGGTGGTTCAAGCCCACTCAGGGATAGCTGTGGGCTGGATTCCTGCATTGCAAGGGGTTGGACTAAATGACTAGCTGACATTTAGAATTCATAGGATCATATAATGGAAGGGTTCCTTCCATTATATGAGTCTATGAATTCTAGATGTCAACTTCTTATTCCTGCTTCAGGTCTCAGCTGCTGAATTCACTCTAGATACTCACTTATCTGTGGCGATAATGTTACTTCCTTGTGTTTAGCCTTAAATTTTTGACTTTCATGTCTAGCTCTTCTCACCACTTAACAAGAACTCTAGGATACTCAAAAACATATCTTACGTACCAACAGGTGTTAGAGCAATCATGAGAGAGCAACAATGAGTCCAGTAATAACTTTGTATTGGCTTAAGATGTCAACTACACCCAGAATAAATGTTAAGGTATATATATATATAAAACTCACTAGTTGTTATTCTGAGTCCTGTCAAACCCAATTCACTTATCATTCTCAGCAAATCTAGTACTGTAGCACCAGGCTGAATACTAAATCAATGTGCCATAGACTGACCGTGAAAATCATTTTCAAATGAAATATATATCACACACAGGCAAATGGATATGTGCAATATGTCTATATTATAAATCACGAGTCAGATGTACAGAAGAGTGATTAGTCAACTTCCAGGTATTTTCAATTTGTGTTGCACTGTAAAAGCAGAAGAGTTATTTTTCATTTCTTTATAGCTGTTAGTTAGAGCAAGATCTATTGACACGCAGTTTGCTGGGAGCCAATAACTTTTCATTTTTTGTTGACACTTCCAGATCCCTAATTTTAGGCAGGAGGGAAATTAAAAACAACACACGATAGCATCCAATTTACTCTCCCAATCCCCTTCTCACAGAATATTTCAATGCATAACGCCGTTGGAGGAGCCATGGCAGCACCGGGGACGCACCAGCTCTCAAATCCAAGGATGCCAAACCACGACACCAGCATCGTTATTCAACAAGCCATGCCATCTCCGCAGTCGAGTTCCGTCATAACACAAGCACCTTCCACGAATCGGCAGATTGGGTAAGGACATCCTCGGTTGATTCTTGCTTGGATGAAGTGCTGGTCTAGGTGTTGTGCCAGATGTTGTGTTTGATGAATGATACACGGCGAAACTTTTGCAAGATAATCTAGAGATGGGTGGCGGCGGTTATGAAGTGTTACGAAAATTCATGCTCAGGGTTCTTACTGCTGTTGGAACCTGTTGCACAACAATAAAGGATCTAAGTCTACTGACTGCTGTTTTGCTCCAAATTACTTGGCTGGAGTTTCCTTCTTTTACTGACTGCATGGACCCGTGGGGGACTTATACCCCAACGAGCTGAGCTGTTGAGTAGCCTCTCAACCCAGAATTTTCCTTGTCAGTAGTATTGCTTAGCATTTCAGCCACCGGAAGAGCCATTCATTCAAAATGTACTGTTTGTTCATATATCTCGGATTACTATCTTAGAGAGAGACCCCACATTTCTTCTGTACAGTTTGGAGTCTATAATGCAAAGCTAATCATAACTGAGAGCTTAAGTGATAGCCTCTCCTCTCCACAAAAGCCCAGAGCTATCTTTAAGAGGAAAGAAGCTGATCACCCATCAAAATGTTCTGTGACCTTCAGGGCCACCCCACCCATGAGTGAGGCAAAGTGAGGCAACTACCTCAGGCTGCAGGATCCACAGGCGCAGCAGATCTGGCCTCCAAAGAATGCATCACTCGCTGCTGCTGCTGCTATTGTTGTGGTAGCCATAACAGCTGTGGTGTGCTCCTTGGAAGCCAGATCTGCTGCCTCCTCCGCAGCCTCCCCACTGCCATTGCACCTCTACAGTGGCTTCTTGGTGACTAGGAGGCACTGCTGGTCTCAGAGCCATCTTACCCATAGGGTGCCGGGCTCTCAGGGGTGCCAGGCCAAGAGTCCAGGGCCCAAGAGTTGAGTCCGGGGAAGTGTCTACCCATTGGTTGGAGCGCTGCGGCAAGCTCTTCTGCTGCAGGCAGTTCTGCACCGCAAGTTCGGGGGCGACCAAGCCAGCGAGGCGCTGAGGCGGCTGGCCGGCTCCACTCTCCTGTGTGCCTGGGACTGGGCAACCGGGGGGGGGGGCACCGGGCGGATCTTTGCACCCTAGCGCCACATATGCTTAAGACAGCCCTGGCTGGTCTCCTCCCACCCCTAGGAAGTAAATGGTAGGGGCTGCCCTCTGGGGTCTCCTGGGCTCTGCGCCCACCTGACGTGATTCAGAGTGGGTCCCTCTCCTCCACCACCACGACAGCCTTTGATTCCCACTTCAGCCTTTGGGTAAGGTTGATTTGATTTCCCCACTTGTTCCTGATGTAGCTCTTCACTCCCCTCCTCTTCCCCGATTGGGGGAGCACCATTTTCTGCTTCGCCCCAGGTGCCAAAATGTATTGGGCCCCCAGCTTGATTCCGAAGTCAACCCCAACTCCATTATATTTAGGCTGAGGATTTTCAACCACTCCATGTGCTGGCTCTCCCTTTCATCCATAATGAGCATCCAGCCAAGTTGTTGTCCTCAGTGAGTATCCAGCCAAGCTGTTGTCCTTAACCCATTTGTGTGTCTTCATACATTGTTTATAATCTATTAGTCTGTTTCCTAACTTTTGAAAGATCCATCAAGGGGTATTCTACAGCTTTTCTATCACCTGTAGTCAAATGCATGTCTGTCGTGTTGTCATATGCTCGAATGCTTCTTCCTGGACCTCTGGCCTTGAATGAATAAGAATTGCATGGCGAGTGCAGCAATTGGTATGGTGGGATAGAATTGTGAAACTGCCCTTGCTATAGCTCACCTTTACAACGGGTAGGGTAGGACAGTGGAGGTGAGCTTGGGCTATGCAGGTGCAGCAGTAGAACCAATTTTGCTGCGGCTCTTTCCCTCCCCAGTGCCATCAAAGTCAGCTGTAGTGATGCCAGTGTTAGCTGAACCCCACCAAACTGACCTCTACTGTGTAAGACTCATTCAGAGATCTTTCCAGATGTCTTTTTCTTCAAAAAACAATGCACAGTGAATGCCTATATGTTCCACACATCCCAGGCTCCTTCATTGTATGTGTTCTCCTGTTGTATTGACTTCCTGTTTTCTTAGCACTGAAAGATAAGAAAATCAGGTTCTTTTGACAATTTATGTACTCATTGATATTGATATTGGCATGCGGAATGTGGTTCTGTGAGTGTCGTGGGCATCTACTAGCTATTGACATTAGTTTTTTAGCTCATTAGTAATGGAGATAAACCCTTACTCTATGTTGACAGTATTGTGTGATCTCTTAAAAAAATAATAATACAGTGGTAATATATTCCCAAAGGTGTGCCAAAGTTCTGTGGTGTATCTCTCTTACACACAAGAGTTCTGTTCCTGCTTTCACATGCATCCTTTGGGGCAAATCCAGAGAGCTTTTGATCCTTCAGATGTTTCTAACTACATAACTCCCATCATTCCTGGCCATTGGCCCTGCTTCCAGGGACTGATGGTAATTGTAGTTCAGCAACATCTGAAGAGCTAAGATTCCCCACATCTGCTTATCTGCTTTAGAATAGACAGTGTATTGTACTCCCTTCATTTTAGGCTTCAATTGATATCCATTTTCCTGGGACAAAGCCCATGGAACTCAATGTGAATTACTTCTGACTAGATACATATAGGATTCTATTCCTAGCGTTGACTGAACAACCAAATTTATTGGCTAAACCAAATAAGCACAGTCAAAATAATTGCCATTTGGTACATTTGTGCACATTTTCAAAATTGATTTTTACTGCAGAGGAGATACAGCCTTGGGTAAGGGGAAGAGGACATGTGAAACACTTATGACTGGAGTTCTTGGATTGTATTTCAACATATTCTAACTTTGTGGGTGGTGAGGTCCTGGTTAACGTATTGTTGCACACCAGACCGACCTCCAACTGGTGTGGGATTCCAGGGGTACCAGGCACTTACCTAGGGTTCGTGATTCCTTTTGGAAATGAGGCACAGTGGAGACTGTGGTGTCTTTAAGATATACGTTTTTTTTAAACATGTATACAAACTGAGCCTATGATGGAGGGCTTAACAGCATCATCACCTCCAAAGGGGCTTGTTTCTTCCATAGCTGCAGCCTTGGACTCAGACAGAAACCAAATGTTGTGCTCTCTGACACTCTATTTCTTGTTTTCTTTTAGATTATATCCTCTCTCTCTCTCTCTCTCTCTCTCACACACACACACACACAGACACACACACTTACTGACACACACACACAACTCTCTACAGTGGTACCTCTGGTTAAGAAGTTAATTCATTCTGGAAGTTCTTAACCTGAAACTGTTCTTAACCTGAGGTACCGCTAATGGGGCTTCTCACTGCCGCCGCACCACAACATGATTTCTGTTCTCATCCTGTTCTCATCCTGAAGCAAAGTTCTTAACCTGAGGTACTATTTCTGGGTTAGCAGAGTCTGTAACCTGAAGCATCTGTAACCTGAAGCATCTGTAACTTGAAGCGTCTGTAACCCGAGGTACCACTGTTGAGAGAGGGGGCCCCATCTATTTGCTCTGTTGCACCTTAATCCCCATTAATGAGTCGTCACCCAGGCGTTCACTTCGTGGAAAGCTAGTTTGTCTTGATTAGATGTTAACACTTGCTGGATCCAGGGATTAATTACAGGGGGCTGGCACCCACAAACTCATAACAGTATGAAGTATTAGGAGAATTTGCTGCCTCAGAAAATGATTCTTTTTATTTTTAGAGAGAGAGAGAGAAACGAGTGGCCCCGCAGAATACATTTGTTAAAAAAACTCTAAGCTTTTCAGCAGACAATGTCGTAATGGTCTTAGTGCGTCTTAAGTGGGAGCAGAATCTGGCCCTGTAGGCTATTGGAAACTGCAGTGTAGCAACATTCTGATTTTTATCACAACTGTAGATAGTTAAGTGTCAAAATATGGCCCAGCCACCTGCAAATGTTTGCACTGGCTGCAGTCCAATGAAAACAACAAATGGCAAGATAAGGTTTCATTCAAACTGTTGCATTCAGGCCTCACTCCTGCACATGAGACTGGGATTCATCTGTATGCATGTGCATTTCATTCCATGAGGCAGAGTGAGGTGTCTTTGGAGTGGCTGTAACTTTTATTTCCAGGTCTTTCTTTCTTTCTTTCTTTCTTTCTTTCTTTCTTTCTTTCTTTCTTTCTTTCTTTCCCAGGAGGCATGTGTATAAAATGGAATCATCCTAGATACCTGACAGGATAAGGGTTGTTGTGAACAAATTACTGGCAGTGTATAATTTTTATATGCATACTAATTTCAGATGTTAATATGCTTTTGCTGCCGAGAAGGCCCCAAGTCAGATAAATGAGAAGAGGAGAAGCAGAATACAGCAATATTTCTTTCCTGCTCCCGCAAAAACAACGATGTGGTCCTTGTATATCTTAATAACCAAGCAAAAACAATATTTTTTGTCATTTCAATGTACTCCTTAGGGTTCTTACAGACAGGTGTTTATTGTGGGATTGGTAGCAACGTAAGCATGCAAGTTTATTGTATCATTCGCATTACACTATTGGCATCCAAATTTCAATCCATTTTTTTTCTTCTGCATTTGAACTGGATTTACCCCTTCTGTTGAAAATCTAGAAATTTGTTTTTAAAAGCCTGTTTCCGATTACCTGTTTGTGATCTTAGTAGTGTGTTTGCAAATTAAATCCCTGTCTGGAACCAACTTTAGTCTGAAAATTCCCATGTGTTGCTGTACTGTCCTTAAAACCAGTGGTGTATCTAGGGTTTTGCTGTCTGGGGCTGTCATTGAGTTTGCCGCCCCGCTTGCTGTTCCTCACCCGGGAGTCCTGCCAAATTGCCACGGTTCTCCGCTCCGCTCCGACTCTCCTTCCCTCCCCTCCCCTGCATCCCAAGGGGTGGGAAGGCATTCTGTTCCTGTCACCTCAGACTCCACCTCTTCTTTGCTTTATTTAATGCCTCATCGTGTTCTTTCTTTCTCTTGCTTCAGCCACAGACAGAGCTCAAACACCTATTCCTGCCAGGCAATAATAATAATAATAATAATAATAATTTATTATTTATACCCCGCCCATCTGGCTGGGCCTCCCCAGCCACTCTGGGCGGCTTCCATAGAAACCAAAAATACAGTAAAATATCACACGTTAAAAACTTCCCTGAACAGGGCTGCCTTAAGATGTCTTCTGAATGTCAGGTAGTTGTTTATCGCTTTGACATCTGCTGGAAGGGCGTTCCACAGGGCGGGCGCCACTACCAAGAAGGCCCTCTGCCTGGTTCCCTGTAACTTGGCTTCTCTCAGGGAGGGAACCGCCAGAAGGCCCTCGGTGCTGGACCTCAGTGTCCGGGCAGAACGATGGGGGTGGAGATGCTCCTTCAGGTATACTGGACCGAGGCCGTTTAGGGCTTTAAAGGTCAGCACCCAAGGCAAGCACTTTAAAGGCAAAAGCACCCAAAACTAGTGCAAAGCAGGAGTGATAAGGAAGAATGTAGTCTCTTATACAGTGGTACCTCGGGTTAAGAACTGAATTCGTTCTGGAGGTCTGTTCTTAACCTGAGGTGCCACTTTAGGTAATGGGGCCTCCCGCTCTGGGCAGCTCCCAACCAAGGGTTAAAAACAATACTCTCTCCTGAGAGTGACGCGGTGGCTTGGGTGCCCGCAGGCTTCCCGCTGCCCAAACAGTCTACCCGCTGCCTCCCCCTCAGCTGTAGGGTGGCCCGGCTTGCCCTGCCCCATGGGCAGCTGGCCCCGCCCCTGGGTGCAGGGTGCGCGTGCCGCCCCAGGTGCCCCAATCGACTTGCTCCACCACTGGTGCCAGTGAAGAAGGGAAACACTTTAATTTTTTTTTTAAAAAAAAAACTTTTTAGTGATTTGTTATCACAAAGGAAAGAAAAGTGCAAACATAACAAGAGATAAAGAAAGCAAAGAATCAAAAATGTAAACCATAAAGTGTCACAACCTAAAAGGATAAAAGTGCAAAGATACAGCAGAGTTCCAAAGGGATGATAAAGTATTAACTCATTTAAAACTTTTTATATTCTCCACCTTTGAGTTCCTTTATTATTGAGAATAAAGGTTCTGTACAGTGTTGAGTGAGCCCAAACATTTGCATATACAGAGTATTATTGACCCACTTTCCCAATAATATTCAATCCAAACCACTGTTTGAGATAGGTGTCCACTCTTTCCTTAGACAGTGAAGATAATTTGATCTGTTCATTTATTATATCTGTGCTCTTTCCTACAAAGCCGAAATGAGTGATTTCGGGCAGTTTATGTTGACTTCAAGATCAGGACCAGTGCAAATCCGGTCGATCGAAGATGGCGGCAGGCCAGGCAGTCAGCTCCAGAGCTCCACAAATTTTAACTGAGTTTTAATTGATTTTATCTCGTTTTAACTCGTTTTAGACTAAGTATTTTATTTTTCTTAATCACATCTGTTTCTTTTAACCTGGAGCTGAGAGCAGAAGAATGCTGAGCTGTGAGCAGAGAAAGTGCCAGATGAGTCAGCGCTTTGCAGATAAGGAATAATAGACGACACCATCAATCTTGACCGCCGGAGCAGGGAGAATCAGTGGGAGTCCAGAGTCAGAACCCGAAGAGAAACTCCCTGTTTAAGGACACCGAATCACCGGCTACACAAGGAACTAGAAGGCAAGCGTTGGTTAAAATTACTCCCGAGCACTGGATCACCTCTGCTATAGCTGTAGCCAGGAGACAGGGCCTGAGCGGAGTCTTAATACTTGGGGAAGGGAAAGAGCCAAGCCGAAGTTTTGAAGCCAGGCCAGGGGAGGACCTGAGGACCAGAGGAGATCATAGAAGTCCTCAGGTGCCTGAACGGGCAGCTGAACCCGACGGGCTTGAGGACCCAGCCTCCCTCTCGAGCAGTCTTCTCCAGCTGCACTTCGTCATCCCAATCAGCGAGAGTGGAAAGCTGCGAGGCTGCTAGGCTTCGGGTTGCTGAAACTACACTCTGAAAGGTGAAGAAGAAGTTCTCAGCAGAGAGGGGTGAAGAGAGAGGAGACGGGAGTTTAAATTAAACAAAACAAAAGCCTGGAAGTTCACTAAGCGGTGAGACCTTCTGTTCCAAGTTAAGCCTGCTTGCACTTTTCCTGGAGACCGAATAGGGGAGGGATGGGGGACTGGACCAAGATTTAAATTGAGAGCCCTTCCCTTGAACAATCTATCGTGAAGAGGGCTGAGCTGAGATGATCTACTTGAGCCCTCACCAGGGGTAAATCTTTATCCGAATTTGACTCTTATTATAGCTCTTGTATGAACTGCGGAGAAATCCCTGGAGTTAAATACTCAGCTGTATAGCCAAATTATTGACTGTGGTAGGAAGTCCCCTTCTTCTCTCCTGTATTATCTACATTATTTAGCTCATATCTACTGTGGCTATGGGCAAGAGGAAACGCCTCAGAGAAGCAGAGGAATTACTGCTCCTCCCTAGCCCCAAGCTACAAGCTAAAGAAAGAAGAGACCAGTCAAATTCTCAAGCAGCAGTTACCACATACAATAGATTTCTTCCACTAAGTGACTTGGATGTAGCTAATAACATTCCCAAGTCCCAAAATACCACCATACACAATTGTAATCTAACGAGCACTCCCGTCAAGGGTGGGCCCAATGTGGATGGGAAAAAGATCCGGGATAAAGAAAACCAGCTGGGAAATGAGTCCTCCCATTTACAACTAGTCATTAGGACACTGGACTGCATATTTAAAAAGATAGACTTTCTGACGTGCTCAATTTCCAAGCTAACGGAAAAAGTGATGGATATGGACGCCAAAATTGCCCTCAATAATAACTACCAGAGGGGACCTCCAGTAATAGCCCCACCAAACTCTGGGGCAAAGGGGATGAGAAAATATAAACTAAACGATCTCATGTGTAAGCAAAATCTAACATTGCAACCTAAGAAGGTGTGCCTAACGATAAGGTCTGAGATATGGGACTGGTCAAGCTTGGAAGGAGCTAAAACTGCCCTAAGTAAAATCCTGAGAATAAGCATAGTTCATATTGATCTTCATGCTTTACTTCCGCTAACTCAATCAAATGGCCCTTACAAAGTTATTTTAGCCTTCCGTTCGCTGAGACTACCCTTATTAATAATAAGACAAAAATGGAAATTTATAAAAACAAAAATCATACCTACAAGGGTTTTTGCGGACAGCATAGTAAAACCACTACTTGTGGAAAAAGAGAAAGAGATATTAGATTCAGGAACAAGCTCTACAAAATCGCCAGACAAAGAGATGTTGCCTTCCCCACAGAGAACGGAGGAGATGGCCTGCAGTCCACAACCAGGAACGGACTTGGGTGGCTCCAGAATATCTAATGATGAAAGCGCCCTTATGAATTCATTTGATGAATTACAGTCACAAGAAAAAATAATAAATAAATTAGATAAACTAAGAGAGAAGATGTCTCAGGCCAAAAGCAAAATAGGAAACAAAGAAATTCAAACCAACAGGGCCATTGGAGGCTCAGTGGACCTTCTCAAATTTAGCCCACAGCCTCAAAATAGGTCCATAAAATCCAAGGCAACGATACAGACAATTGTCTCGCCACCCCTATTAGTTAATCTGGAACCAGCCCTTCCTGCATCAGCCGGAATGGTTACACCTACTAAAGAACAGCAAAATGTAAACAAAATTTCGACACATTCCTCAATGCCTGACCTGGAGTCATCATTATCGGACGGAGAATCTCAAGCTGTTGATTTAGAAGCTCAAACCGCTATCGATATGGACTGGACAGAAGACCCCTTGGGCCATATAAATAAGATGATACACCCACGGAAGGGAAATCTAATAATAGTTAAAACTTGTACCGACTTAATCTCTGCCCCCCTAGGTGATAAGCTCTCGGATAAAACAAGGGATTTCAGAGAGGAGACCAGATCAAACCAGGACACTACCCCTATAGGATCGGGTGAGCAAAGCAGAATTACAAATAGCTCAAGAGGTACATCTGTGCCAAAAGGAGAGAAGTCATCTACTATTAGTCAAAGGAAAATTACTGACTTCTTTAAATTTGACAACCCACCAAGATCAGCGTTCCCCCCTTCCCCATTGTGACTACCCAAACCTCAGTCAAATCCTCCCCGTTCTCCCTTTTAAGCTGGAACATAGCAGGTTGGAAGGGGAAAAATCTGACCCGGACTTTGTAAAACTAATAAACTCACACCAAGTAATTCTCTTGCAGGAAACATGGGAAGAGGGGAGAGTAGATATTAATGGTTTTGATGTTACATCATTACCGGCATGCCCGTCTACTAAAGGAGGCCGGCCCAGTGGAGGATTAGTTATAGCAATTTCCTTGAAAATACAGGCAAAACTCACGCTTGTAAATGCTTCCATCTTTGCAATTACAGCCCTGATTACGGGAAAAACTTTGAACTTGTTATAACAAATGTTTATCTTCCTCCTGGAGGCAATATTGCAGACTTACACAATAAATGGGGAATCTTGGAGGAACATCTCACTCATTGTCACTCCAAATACCCCAATATACCCAATGTTATAGCAGGGGACTTCAATGCTCGCATTGCAACAAACTGGGAGTCTTTAATCAAAGCCAAATGGTGGATAACCCCAGAATTCATTAATGACCTCTCCCTCCATAATCAAAGACTTTCTAAAGACAAAAGGGTAAATGAAGCAGGAACCCTTCTTTACCAATTGGTACTACGTCTAAACTTAGTGATTCTAAACGGGAACTGCCCGCCAGACGTACCGGGTGAGTTTACACACATAAGCTCCTCTGCAAACAGTGTCCTGGATTATATGTTAGTATCTCATGACATATTCCCCAAATTTTCCCATTTTAAAGTCGAAAACTTTCAACTGAGCGACCACTTACCGTTGGTCGCCACAATGACTATAGACTGGACCCCAGATGGAGACAAGCACCCAACACATCTGACTACGAACTCAGCATTGCAAATCAAAAGTGTAAAATGGTCCGAACTACAGGCCCAAAAATACTCAGCATATTTCCAACAAGGGCTAAAACAAGCATATTCAGGCTTAATCGAGAATTATTATGATTATGACCAAACTCTAAGATTATTCTCGAATCTGTCAGAAGATCTAACGTCTTTTTTCTCTGTCCCGACGCATAAAATAAATAGAACACAAAGGAAGATAGGTGCCTTGTGGTTCAATAGTGCTTGTAAACAGGCTAGACAACTTCTTGGTAACATCTACAAAGAGTATAAAGCCTCCGGGGCAACGGTCTTGCCAAAAGAATACTTCCAAGCAAAATCAGCCTACAAGCAAATTCAAAAGGGAGCCAGACAGGAATGGCAAGTGAATCAATGGCGAACAATCATAGAAGCCTCATCATCACGGAACTCCAGACAATTTTGGCTCCTGGTAAATAAAAGAACTAAAAGATACCCTTTGACTATTATTCCTGCCCCGGTTTGGGAATCCTACTTAAAAACTACTTTGCCACAACTGACTGTATTGCTAACACAAGAGATGATTTTCAAGATCAGCTTCCCTCTGGCCCCCACCGACCCGGAAGACATCCATGACTTGATCGTTAAACTCAAAACAGGGAAAGCGCCTGGGCCAGACCTGATCCCGGCAGAAGCTATAAAATACCACGCGGACTGGTGGGCTAAAGTTCTGGCGACCATCTTCGATGCCGTTAACAACTCTGGAAAGATCCCGGAAGTATGGAAGGACGCTGTTATCGTTCCAATCCACAAAAAGGGCTCACCAGATGACCCGGGGAATTACAGAAATATCAGTCTACTCTCAATAGTGGGGAAACTGTATGCCCGCTTCTTGCTGAACAGACTTAACCAATGTGCCGAAGAGAAAAATTAATTGGGCCCGAACAAGCTGGATTCCGCCCAAAACAGTCAACAATTAATCATATTCTAATTTTACAGCATCTTGCCTGGAAATATTCCACCCCAAAGGGTGGCCAACTCTGTGTGGCATTCATTGACCTAAAGGCAGCATTCGATAGTATCCCCAGGAACATCCTCTGGGAAAAACTCTCCCGCTGGGGCATCGATAGAAGGCTTCTCTGGCTAATAATCAAACTCCATGAGAACTCAGCGGCTAGAGTGAGACTCACCCCGGAGGGTGATCTCACCAATCCAATTCCCATTAACAGAGGTGTCCGACAGGGTTGTATATTGGCTCCATTCCTGTTCAACTTATTCATAAGCGATATGAGGACTCCCTAATAGAGGCTCAAGAAAGGATTCATGCACCCCGCCTAGCACTTTATCGCTGCCCTTTGTTACTGTATGCGGATGACGCAGTCATCCTTTCCTTTTCTAGAGTAGGTCTCAGGAGGGCCTTAAAAATTTTTGGATCGTACTGTAACGCAAATTCCCTTACAATTAATTATGGAAAATCTAAGATTCTAATTTTCTCAAAGAGCCGGAAACTCCATAATTGGAGAATTGATGGGAGAGTCATCGAACAAGTCTATAGATTCCAATACTTGGGAGTTTGGTTACAACATAACCTTAGATGGAAGGCCCATGTAGCCTATGTTACAAATAGAGCCAAAGCTATCTCCTTGGCGATCTTGCGATTCTTCTTCACCGATGGGGCTCTTCATATCCCATCGGCGTTGAAAGTCTTCAAGGCCAAGGTGATCCCGACAATTGCCTATGCCATCTCAATTTGGGGGACTTTTGTCAATCTATCTCACCTAGAGGTTATTCAAAATCAGTTTTTAAGAGGGATATTGAAACTGCCCAACTGTGTAAGTAATACAGCGTTACGCATGGAACTTAATACTGTATCCCTGGAAAACGCTCTGTGGAAGCACATACTTTGTCACTGGTTATCTCTATGGCACAATCTCCCAAACTTGTACTTGATACAATGTATGTGGAGAGATGATTTCCAGAGCCCATGGGTAAAAAATTTACAGCTGAAAATAATGACAATGGGAATCTCCCCATCCAAATTACTAGAGCAGGACATAGTTCCAGCTAAAAGAACAGTAACCTGTAAACTAGAGGAGATGGACTTGCAGCAGAAAATGGTCTTGGGCAATGGTACCTGCTCACCTCTAAACCTTGGTTTATCACCCCTCTTAAGGCTCCCAAACTATTTGAATTCCTTAACTTCTTCGGCTCATAGATATGCCTTTGTAAAGGCAAGATTCAACACCTTCCCATCGAACATGCTGAGAAATAGATTCTCCAATGGACAGATATCGCTCTTATGTGATTGTAATTGTGGGGCACCGGAATCGTTGCATCACATAATTTTTGACTGTGCTTTTCACTCATCGGCCAGGAGCAAGTTTCTTGCCCAATATCTAAAGGGAATTGCCGATGATACGAATGAAGCCAAACTGAGATATCTATTAAATGATGATGACCCCTAAGATCACTCACGGTTGCCAGATTCTTGATCAGTGTCCTATCCCTAAAGAAGAGAAACGGACTCCTGTGTGGCTCGGAAAATCCCTTTAAACCATGATCTATGTTTTAGGATGTAACTAGGTGAATCACCATTGATGTCTTTTATTGATCTGTGAGCAGATGGTGATGGTTATGTTACAAATTTATTGCAACATATGATGTTGGTCTTTTGTTTTTGTTCTGCTTTGGTTCTTGTCTGTTTTTTGTAAGTTTTGACGGTTTTAAATTTGGAGGTTCATGTACATTATGTTGGTATGGGAAACTGTCGTGTGACGGGCCAATGGCCGTAATAAAGATCAATCAATCAATCAGTCGTCACCCAGGCGTTCACTTCGTGGAAAGCTAGTTTGTCTTGATTAGATGTTAACACTTGCTGGATCCAGGGATTAATTACAGGGGGCTGGCACCCACAAACTCATAACAGTATGAAGTATTAGGAGAATTTGCTGCCTCAGAAAATGATTCTTTTTATTTTTAGAGAGAGAGAGAGAGAGAAACGAGTGGCCCCGCAGAATACATTTGTTAAAAAACCTCTAAGCTTTTCAGCAGACAATGTCGTAATGGTCTTAGTGCGTCTTAAGTGGGAGCAGAATCTGGCCCTGTAGGCTATTGGAAACTGCAGTGTAGCAACATTCTGATTTTTATCACAACTGTAGATAGTTAAGTGTCAAAATATGGCCCAGCCACCTGCAAATGTTTGCACTGGCTGCAGTCCAATGAAAACAACAAATGGCAAGATAAGGTTTCATTCAAACTGTTGCATTCAGGCCTCACTCCTGCACATGAGACTGGGATTCATCTGTATGCATGTGCATTTCATTCCATGAGGCAGAGTGAGGTGTCTTTGGAGTGGCTGTAACTTTTATTTCCAGGTCTGTCTTTCTTTCTTTCTTTCTTCCTTTCTTCCTTTCTTCCTTTCTTCCTTTCTTCCTTCCTTCCTTCCCCAGGAGGCATGTGTATAAAATGGAATCAT